TTTCAATGTGCAACACATAAAAATGCAGCCATATGAGCCCATTTAGCTTCGTTAATGAGGCATTTTCGTTTAAGCGAGTTTAGTTTATTGGGCGTCCACTGTAGTTGCCGGCTATGGAAACCGTGCAGTAGGCGTAAAGGAACACTAAAAGCAACTATTAAGTCGATGTTGCTTGTTGAAATAGCGGTCCAGAAACCTCGTTGTGTTACTTTTGAGCCAAGGAAAAGCCTATTTTGAAATAAAATATTTTAGTGGTTCGCATAGGGTTAGCGCACTTTAAATTACCCGCGTCAAGAAGCGGACCGACCGGACCGACTCTCGTCACTGCTAGTAGCAGCAGACCAAAAGCAGCGGGAGCCACAGCAAAAACAACGGCCATTGATCAATTTCCAGCCATTGGATCAGAGATTTCAGACGCTTTTTGGTTCAACTGCACCCCGCTAGATAGTACCACCTGTCCAGGGCAACTGCGTGAAAATTCAATTTTTGAATCACTCGCTCCATTCCCCATAGTAACATTTGGCGGTTCTTTCCATGAATCAAACAAACGAAAAAGCAGCATTTTATTGAGTCTCTTGATGTACATAAGGTTCTTTATTTAGTGCAGTTATCTTATTTACGATCACCTTATTATCGATTACCTTATTTACTCGCATAATAGGCAGCCTTTTTTTCCCCCAGAAAATCCGGCTTGAAGTTAGGGGTGTGCCAATTATGTGGGGGTAAAATTTTCGAAAAATTTTCCGAATCTGTCCCCGCACTTTAAATCAGCACATTTGTCAAGTAAAAGGAAACATTATCGTTTACCAATTAATTTAGCATAAAACAAACATACCTACGTACGTTTTAATGAACAAGCGAGAGTCGTCAAGTGCGTACACACACACACACACACACACACACACACACACACACACACACACACACACACACACACACACACACACACACACACACACACACACACACACACACACGTAACATTTATTTACACAAAAGTCGTAGGTGTTCCTCCTTTTCCCTATTCGGAGTCCAAGTCGGAGAGCACACATTCATCCTTGTGGAGGGGCAATTTGTTTTCGGTGTCCAAATCATTCGTACCCATCATGTCATCCTCACTCACATCCAGTGAGTTCGAGGTACCCGTATTCTTGAAGCTTTTCCTGACAACGTCATCAGAGATCGCCTGCTACGCTTCCAGGATCCAAGCGCACAGCATTTCCAATGGCGGCCTCTTCATCTTACCCCACCTGGAGTCAGCTGGTGTTGTCCTCCAGCCATCCAGGTGGTGTACAGCCTTCAAACATAGAGCCCTTGAAAGGCTTATTCAAGGACACGTCGAAAGGGTGCAGTATTGATGCGAGGCCGCCCGGAATCACTGCCAGATCTGTGCGCAGCTCCTTTAGCGCATCTCGTACGCGGTCTACTAGGTGCCCACGAAAACTGTCCAAGACAAGCATGAGCGGGAACAACAGACCACCCGGCCACCGACTCCCGACTGTTTTCACTCGCTCCACTACGAGTTCCACACTCATCCAGCCTTTTTGCTGGACTCTGACGTAGATGCCTTGAGGGAAATTTGCCTTCGGGAGCGTCTTACATTTAAAAACAACGTAAGGCGGTAGCTTGCGCCCATCCGCTGTCACCGTCAGCATTACGGTGCATCGTTGTTTATCAGTGCGACGCTCTGAAGATGACGCTCCGTGCACCTTTCTTCTCCACTGTCGTGTTTCGCGGCATATCAAAGCAAAGAGGGGTCAGATAAGTGTTACAGATATGGGACAAAATGAAGTCTTTCTACTGTCGGAACTTTATAACGAAATTGTCGGAACTTTATAACGAAACGGTGGAAGTCCACCACTTTGTCCTCATATGCTGCGGGCAAGCGCTGGCACAAGGTGGTCTGCCTTTGCAGTGCAAGGCCATGGCGCCGCATGAAAAGAGTTGTCCATCCGGAGCTGGCTTCAACTATTTTGCTTCGATGTGCTGCGCTCGGGCTATTCTGCGTGCCTCAGTCTGCACAATATCCAATGACACAGCACAGCCGTCTTGTCGTAGCTCCCGTATATGACGGACCAGTTTCTCTTCGACGTTCCGGTTACCAGCTGGTCTTGGGATCGCGGAAAGCCCGTTGCGTCTTCTTTGTCACCTCAAGTTTTTCTTCTTGATCCCTCCAGTACCGTATACTGGTTTCTCTATGCCTGCTTGCAGCCCGGTTGCCGTGTTCCAGCCTATACTGCACTACCTTCAGTTTAAATCCAGCCGTGTAGCTTGCATACTTCCTCATGATGGAACCAAAGTTGAATACACGACCACAACAGACGCACACAGTTTGCAAAATGGCCTTTTTTTTCTTTTTCTCTGATGGTGGTGATGGCGATCGAGCCCTCGGCATTGTACACGTGACCTCGAAGGCAATTTGGAAGGCGTCAGTAATTGATGGAACAGCCTTTTTTTTTCCACTCAGGGACCCTTTTTTTTTTTTTTAAGTTTTATTTCGAAAAACAGGTTGCTTAGGTCGCTGCACTTCAAATTTTTTTTTATTTCACGTTGATTTGCCTTCTTTTTTTCTTCAGGGTACAGGAAATGCGTTCCAAATATACCACTGAGGGGTAGAATCTTTGCACATCACTGCCAATTTCGGGGTGCGCCTATTATGTGCGGAATTAAAAAAATTGAATTTTCCGCAACCAAACTAGGGGTGCGCCAATTATGCGAGTGCGCTGATTTTGAGAGTAAATAAGGTACTAGTGATTAATTGTAGGCCGTTCATCTGATGTCACCGAGATCCTTTTGACAAAGTCCTACAGCAGCGCATGTGTTCTTGTGCATTTACCTCAATTTTTCAGTAAGTAGGGCACTGTTGTTGATAATATTGTCGTTTTAGATGTCATATATTGATCATTGATTCTGACGCAAACTGTTATTTGACTTCAGTGTTTAAAACGAAGCTACGCCTCACACGTACGCTTTTGGTGGCTGATAAGTCATTCTAGCGTTCTTTTCGATAGTTGCCACATCATCTTCGTTCTTTGCCCATAGTTACCAAAAAAGGCACCACCGCTATAGCGTGGATGTCACAATATTTAATAGGCCTATTCAGTGCTTCTGCAGCAACGCAAGTGTACGAGATGGTGACCATCACCTAATATCCGCTCACGATGCGCATCGTGGTGGCCTCGCTACTCACCGTAACGGAAAATCACCGCGGGTTCAGGCTTAGCGAGTCACAGGGCTGTCTTTGTCACCTACTCACGTGTAGCGCAACGCTCCACGCGAGCTCAACTAACAAGGCGTTCAGCACGGCGCGGCAAAACAGACAGTGTTAGATTATCAGCAACACTTTACTAACACAGTCAAATTCCACTACAACTAAATTCACGAGAATCGCAAAAAATTTCGTTGTAGCGAGAACTTCGTTGTGGTGGAAAAAGCAGTAAATAAAAAAAACAGGATATGCATGACACTCTAAGAGCATTTTTTGGCAAAATTTGAAAAAAATCGCTTATTTTGTACTGTTGGCACTTTCGCACGAGCAACAGGAGAATGTGTTGCTCACAGTCTGCAAGGAGCTGCATGGCAACATCGTCGTCACAGGTGCCAAAAAATCGCCTATAACGTCCAAGGAGTCCATGACCTGCGAGGCGGTCACTGGTGTCGGGACCGTCGGAACAACATGCCTGACTAAGTTGCCAGATGAATCGGTGGCAGCGGAGCGAGCACTTTTGAAAATCTCAACATCACTGAGCTCCTCGTAGACGATCACATCCGCATCTGCATTTACATAGTCGCTCAATGCCACGTTTTCAGAAACAATACCGGCTTCCTCGAGAGCTGCCCATGCTGCAGCCATAGTCGCATCTTGCCCCGGTCCAACGTCCTCGGCAGCTTGTGCATAGTCACTTGTACCGCACATCTTTTCGGGTTGAAACTCCAAGTGAGCGGAACAGTTCTTGACAACTTCACCCCGCGTCAACATCCACGCAGCGGCCAACATTTGTACAGCTATGTACAAGCCCACTTTGGTGTCATGGCCATGTTCGGTGGCATGGCCATGCACCAAAAAGCCTCTACATCCATACTTCAGCTAAATCATGACCAGCAGAACGACAGCTAAACCATGGTCAACTATTGACCAACCGCATGGGCGAGAAAGACTGCCACCATGCTGAAGCACACGCACGCAAGCATACTTCTGAAAACTTGCAGCGTGTGCTAAGGGGACATCACCGAAATGACTCATGACAGACATTCAGACATGTAGCATTGTCAATATGCTAGTACAGCAGCTGCAGACAAGATGATAGTGCACAGCTTGGTTTTATTTTGTTTAGTACTGCTGCATGGTCACACTGTTGAAGTTCACTGTTTTTAGTTTCCAAGTGCCATTCCAGAGCAGGTTCGAAACAGTTACAAATTTTACACTTCGGAGCAGCATGGAGCAGAACTTCTCTATTGGAGCGGTTTGGAGCAATTGGAACAGCACTTCTATCACTGCAATGAACTACTGTCTCTTGAATGAGAGGCTGGGGGGCTAACTATAGCTTCCGTGATATAGTGTTACACATTGTTTACTTTCAACTTTCAACAGCAGTTGTTTTTCAAAGTTATCATCACTAATTTTTCCAGTTTTCCTCATTAAAAAACATCAGTTGAAACACAGAACACTCTCAATGCATGCACTGGAAAGGAAAGGCGGCATTATAATGTAGGAATACGTTCCGCACTAGCCCGTAGTTGCAGTTGCTCAGTGCGTCGATGCTAGTGTCTACAGAAAAAATGAAAAAATAGGTCTGTGAGGAACCCCCACCACCCTATCTCTGCCAGTGAGATTTGATTGTAAAATGACATAATTCAGTGCAATTGATCTGTTTTTTATGGTCACAACACATATGATGACAGAAAACCAATGTTTATGCTAATCCTAATGGTGGCTAAGGGACTCATCATTCCCGCCCCCAGGCTAAAAGAATCTTATGACAGAAGAAATTGCAACTCACCGTTGGGGCTGCTGCACCAGTGGAGGCAGGTGCAGCGTACTGTGCTGGAAAGGAGTAAGGTGGAGGATACTGGGCAGGAAAGCTGACAATGCCCGTTGGTGGCGGTAAGTATGAACTGGAAAGCGGGGAAGGTGCTGCCATAACAGGAGGTGGCTGATTCTGTGTAGGCATCACAGTAGGTGCCTGGCCCGGTGGTGGAAGCACTACAGAAATCGACCAAAAATTATCTGTTAATATCTTGTTTGCAAATATGGAAAACTTCAATTAGTTGATTAGGTTCCTGCACACAATAGACCGTGACTTGATTCAGCGTACATCCTGCATGTGATAGACCAAGGCCAAACCATCTCAATTTTATTTTTCCACCTTTCTTCCTCAATGAACATGCAAATGTGTGTGGTTTGGCTAGTTTGGCCACATTGCAGAGAGGCAATCAGCTTTATTAGCAAATGTTGGCAACATAAAGCAATTGTTCAGATAGCATTGACAAAAACATTTTCCAGCACAGACACAAACTACGAAAAGGTATGCAATGAAGTGGTTTGAAATAAGTGGAATCAAAATTCATCAGAGAACTAAACATAGGTGAAACAGAAATTTTAAACTTGTTTGAAGCAACAAAAAAGTTAACCATCAGAGTTTGAATTAACCTCAGTATAGTACATAATAGATTAAAGGTTGCACAATGACATGTGGGGTGGTCTGTGGATATGGAGTGTACGTCAAGTGGTCATATAAATGGAAAAAGATGCGTGTAGCACTTATTCGTCACCAGTGCCCTTGTGCTCAAGGCAAAGAAGGCAACTGCTTTGTTTTAAAATAGCTGCCACAGCAACAGCGTACCTAAAAAAAAAACCTGCAGCACTTTACTGAATCATAATGGAATATTCTCACTATTATTAACACATGGCAATTTACGAATCGCATGGTGCGAAAATTTTTAGAATCCATCAAGTACATGCGGAGTTGCAAGCATTTGTCACACGCTTTAAGAGCTTGCCATCTCCCTTCGTGCCAACGAGCATGCTGAAACCTGTGCAGGGAAGGAAATGACAAGGGGGCAAGATGTATTCCTCCGTCAGTGCACGTAATGATCTTGAGCCCTTTCTGGTTTTTCTTCGAACACACAGCTTACTTGCAGGGTGATAGCAAGCACGTATGGGCATGTGGCAGCATCCCACAACAGCCAAGGTAACTGCATAGCTCACAGACAGACAAAGAACTTTATTCAGGTCCTGAGGAACTGCGTAGTAACGGCCCCGTTTAGGGGGAATCCGTAGCAGTCGCGGGCCGCTCCCACGTAGGGACCGGAAGACTGTGGCCCTCCGCCCTCTCGCAGGCCCTCTGGACAGCCCGAAGTTGAACCAGGAGGTCGCCGCTGTGAAGGGCTTCCTCCCAGTCCTCTTCTTTGTTGAACTCTGCGTCACGTAACGCAGGACATTGCCAGAGCATATGAGGTAATGAGCAGTACGCCTCACCGCAGTCTGGACAATGCGGCTCGATGTTGGGCGAAAAATGGCTGAACCGGCCACGCGAAGGGAAAGACCCCGTTTGGAGCATCCTGTAGGCCGATGATTGCGGTCGCGTAAGTTTAGAATGAGGAAGTGGAAAAGTCCTCCAAGATAGATGATAATGAGTCATGATCTCGTGGAAAGTGAGTAGCGAGTCCTTGTATCTTCCGGCGTTCCCGCCTGCGAATCCGCCGGGACCGCCGCGGTGAGCGATACCTCGCGCACGGTCATGGGCAAACTCATTGGCGTTGGGGACATCAGGATGTACGTTGGCCCCCATGTGGGCCGGGAACCATGTTATGGTGTGAAACCCGGCAGCCCCCTCACAGCCAAGGATGGCCGCTGCCTCACGCGAGATCGAGCCCGAGGCGAAAGCCCTAGCTGCGGAACGCGAATCTGTAAATACATTAGGACGCGATGGGTCCTTCATTGCTATGGCGATGGCGATTTGCTCAGCCACCATTGGCGAAACCTTTCTAACCGAGGCAGAGCATAGGAGTGTGCCACTATGATCGACCGAAACCACTGCGAAGCGATCTGAACGCCCGTACTGGGCTGCATCGACAAAGGTCGCGAGATGCGGTCTGTTTGCAACTGATTTTAATAAGGAACGGGCCCGAGCTATGCGGCGCCCTACATTGTATTGTGGGTGGACATTTCTTGGAAGTGGAGCTACCGAAAACGTGCCTCTGATCGAGGGTGGTAGTGTTAGATTACGCTGGTTAGTCGCCGTAGGACCGCAGCCTATGGATTCCAGGATGCGCCTACCAGCCCTCGAGGACGATAGTCGCACGACTTGAGCCATCTGCTGGGCCTCTATCACCTCCGAGAGGGAGTTATGCATGCCCAATTGTAGGAGCTTCTCGGTGCTAGTGTGGATAGGCAAGCCTAGAACTCGCTTTATGCTTTTGCGCAGTAGTGTATCAATTCTTGACTCTTCTCTTTTGGACCAGCGCAATGCGGAAGCGACATAATTAATGTGGCTCATGAGAAATGCATGATAGAGCCGGAGGAGATTGCTCTCGCTCAGCCCACCCCTGCGGTTCGAGACCCTGAGTATGAGCCTAAGCATGTTCTCCGTCTTGGAGGTGATGCGGGCTATAGTTCGTGAGTTGCCCCCCTTGGACTCTAGCAGGAGTCCGAGGACCCTGATGGAGTCCACCCTGGGTATTCTCTGCCCATCCTGTGTGTATAAAGCTATGGGAATCTGTTCTAAAGGAGTGAGGTTCCTCAGTCCTTGTCGGGTGGGTCTGTATAGTAGTAACTCAGACTTTGCCGATGACAGGCTCAGGCCCGAACCGACTAGAAAGTTCTCCGTGATGCCTAATGCCTCTTGGAGCGCCTGCTCTACCCCGGCGTCGGACCCTCCCATGCACCACACGGTGATATCATCCGCGTAGAGAGCATGGTTAACCCCGCGCACCGTAGCGAGTCGCTCCGAGAGGCCCTTCATGGCAATATTGAAGAGTAGAGGAGAGATAACTGCCCCCTGTGGGGTGCCTCTCGCTCCCAAGGTAAATTCCGTCGATTGGATTTGACCGATCCTAATGGTAGCCCTGCGATCCCTGAGAAAATACCTAACGTATGCGTGGAACCGTTGCCCTAGACCCATAACCGAAATTGCCTCAAGCACAAACTTGTGCGAGATATTATCAAAAGCTTTAGCTAGGTCTAGAGCTAGTATGCCTCTAGTATCCCTGGTGTTGTTGTCAATGATTTGTCTTTTGATAAGGAGCATCACGTCCTGTGTGGATAGTGCAGATCTGAATCCTACCATATTGTGTGGAAATAGCTCTCTGCTTTCTATGTACTCGGATACTCGATGGTGAATCGCATGTTCGGCCACCTTGCCTACGCAGGACGTAAGCGAGATGGGTCGCATGTTCTCCAAAGCCAGAGGTTTGCCTGGCTTTGGGATAAGCGCTACCGAAGCTGTCTTCCAGGATTCGGGGACGTGCCCCGTCTCCCAGATCTTGTTGACTTCCTCGGTAAGCTTCTCGATCGATTTGCCATCCAAGTTACGTAAGAGCTTATTTGAGATTCCATCCGGGCCCGGTGCAGAGCGTCCGTTGAGCTCGTGGAGGACTTTACAGATTTCTGGTTCAGTGAAAGGTGCGTCCAGCTCCGCCACCATTCCACCCCTGTAATGCGGATAGTCCGCATCGTCGGAAGGGCCCAGCGGAAGATAGCTGTCCGCTAACCTCTTCAGGAGGGCCTTCTCGGACACTCCCTTCGCTTTTTGGTTGTGAACGATTCTGTCAATAGCCAATCGCTGATTTCCCTTCGACTGTGACTCATCAAGTAATTGTTTGAGGAGGTTCCATTTAGCCCCCACTCTCATCTGTCCGTCAACCGAAGAACATACTTCATTCCACTGCTGTTTGGAGAGTTCAATAGAGTAGGCTTTGATCTCGCGATTGAGTTGCGCAATTTTCTTTCGAAGTCGGCGATTGAGCCTTTGCGTCCTCCACCGGGACAGGATGGAATTCTTAGCCTCTAAGAGATGCGCGAGGTGTGCATCCATCCGATCAACCTTCAGGTTCGTTTTGACAACCTTGGTCGCAGCATTAGCATCCGCCTTGAGCCTTGCAAAGAGGCCGTCTAAGCTGTCGTATTCATCCCGGTCCTCCTTCCGCAATTTACGAAAGGCATCCCAGTCCGTTACTTTAAATTCCCTGGGGGGAGCTGCATTGACTGCTAGGGTAATAGCCACTATGAAGTGGTCACTACCTAGACTCTCTTGCAAATTTTGCCACCCTGCTCCGGCGACGTTCTTGACGAACGCCAAGTCTGGAGTTGTGTCTCGGACCACCGATGTGCCAATTCTTGTCCGGTATTGCGGGTCCGTAATCAATTCAAGAGAACAGCTAGAGACGGCCTTTAGGAGGTTGTTGCCTTTGGGGGACTGCCTGGCGTATCCCCAAGCGTCGTGCGGAGCATTAAAGTCTCCCGCTACCACGATGGGGGCCCCCCTGGCCAGAGCCACCGCTTTTGCCATGATCGAAGCGAACCCCTGCCGCTTGTCCGACGGCGAGCTGTACACATTCAGGAGGAATACGCTGTTCTTGAGCCAGCTGTTGGGGATTATTTCGAGGATAATGACCTCAGCCTTGCTGTTGCCAAGCTGTAGTTTGTGTTCTTGAAAGGAGCACTTTTTTTGCGACCAAGGTTGCCAAACCGCGCTTCCCTTGCTCACGCACCGAGACGACTCGATAGCCCGGGAAAGTTAGCGCATCACCGAGAGTTTCCTGTAACATAATTACGTGCGGTTTGACCGCCTGAGAAGCAATAAAGTGCAGCAGTGGAGCCCTGCGCCTTTTGAAACTTGCACAGTTCCACTGCCACACGACCAGATCATTAGTGTTGCCCGCCATAATTACTGTTCTGAGACAGCCAATCTCCTGTTGGGTTGACTGTCACCGCGCCTGCAGGCGACTGTGCCCTGTTCGGGCCTATCGGAGGCGAGCTACCCGTAGCTAGCGCTGCCTGTGTACCTTCAAGAGACGACACCCTTTTCAGTAGGGTAGTAATGCTATCAGCCAGTTGTTTAATCGATTGCTGCATGCTTTCGAGAGCCTTGCTGTTGGATTCTGTCTCCATAGCATCCCACTCCCCTTGGGGGGGGTGAGGCCCTACGTTTTCCCGAGCGCGCCTGCACGTCCTCTGGTGGGGGAATCTGTTGTCTCTCACCC